GTATACAAACTTTTAAATAATTGTTATCATTTGGAAAGTGAATAAATAAAATTGATGAAAATGAGTTATTTTGCAAATCCATTAGCATCTTATTAGATGAGCAAAGAGCAGCCATAAACTCTTGTCCAAATCTCCCACGATTGCGGTGTAGCCAAAAAATTCTTTCACCCACTTGATCAGCTCCGCAATTGAGAGTGAAGCCTGAGCCCTGATTAGACCTTCGAGCTCACCTGCCAGAAAATCTGAGTGTACATCTTCTGGCGTACAAGTATGTGGACCTGTATATTCTGTTATCTCGTACCTATTGTTCTTCCTTTTAGTTGTACCTCGTGCACTTGAATTCAAAGGAATCGTCGTACACAATACACACACGTTGCCTTCTATTAGAGTACAACTTCACTGGTTTCTTCAGCTCATCTATATCTTTATAAAGCATCCCAACATGCAACTCGCTTTCATCGAGCCAAGAACTAGAGAAAATCAACTGCTTTGAGACACTATTACTGAGGCCTTCTGTTGGACTTGACGTTTCCATAAACTTAGCCACCTCTTGGACATTTTTGGTCACATTCCAAAACACTCAAAAAACATAATTTATCTTTGGTCACATTACAAAATGAATGTATCTTCCTTCTCCTTGTCCTTCTCCTCAAGTCTCGACTTGTTTTGTTCTGTTCACATGGACGTATTTCAAGCTTGCTTCGTTGTTTCCCTTTGTAAACCCGGCTTCTTGATTTGCACTAAACTAGGAGCATAAGAAGAGCAGAGACTAGCACGATCATATGAGACACGGGCACGTTCAAGGTGAAGGATATCAACTTGTCTAAAGAATCCAGGATCTCCAAAGAGGCTAGCAAAGACAGCGATGGCGAGTTTCTTTAGCAAAAACCACGGCGATTTTCTTTTCCTCGTCAGTGAATAAACCAGCTGGTGAGAATGAGATGTGATACGGGCGGGCCGCGACGACCAGTCCGGTATCCAGTGTCAAGAACTTGCTCCAGGACATCTTGTTGGGTTCAATCATAGTCGTAACCCATATCTCAGACACGTAAGGTTCGCCATGGCGTAACAAAAGGACAAGCTTATCTTCTCTAAGACAAGATAAGATTCGCAAACACTTGACCATCCTCTTCCTCGGAAGGAAACGGCAGAGGGAGAAGCGGTCCAAATGTCTCACTTGTAAAATCAAAACAGATCAAGTGATCTCCACGTTCGTCTGAGTTCCAATGTGAAACACGCCAGTAAACGTTTCCCTTGAGAGGAATGGCAAGGTCACAAAGCAGTATACACCAATGTGGATTACCGACATGGAGAGTCCTCCACGAATCAGAGTCGAAATCGTAGATTTCATAGCATGAAAAGTGGGTTCTTGATCAAGGAGGTCGGTATCCAAAAACATTAAGATTTTGTGTGATTTCTTTTGTAACCAAGACCGAACCCGTACTTGTCCGTTCCATCGTGTGGCAAGCGATAAGAAAAACTAGGTGGTTCGATCCACCTTGTTTGACACAACACTACAAGAAAACAGCCACTTTTCCGACGGAAATTCCGACGGCC